CGAGGAAGAAAACATCTTCTAAATCGCATAGTGGTGGACCGCCAATCATCCAGATGTTATAGATGGTATCGCGAGTTTTGTCGCGATGTGCGATGGTGAAATTGAGTGGCTGTAATTAGTCCGAACAATTCCTCAGAGCACTCACCGTGGTAGATATGACAAAATACGCAAAGAGATGCAACATATCTACGCAGTACCAGTGAGTCAAGCCAAGTCAAACTCGGTCGTCGACGATACCAACCACTCTGCGCTGGATGCGGTCAAGTGGAAGGAGCTGGCACTGGGGAGGCCCTGCCTAGAGATGGGAACAGTATTCCATGTGAGGCCGAACCTGCGCCTTGTAAAGTTGCAGGCGGTGTGCCGGCATGAAATGCTGTCCCGCTCTGCTGAGAACACCAAGCTTTTTAGAGGCCAATCCGACCTTCTCTTCCAAATGACCACGAAACTGCACGTCATCCGATATGTCGACGCTAAGGAGATACGACAAAGGGGTTCCTTTTAGCGGTAAACGCGCAAACTTGTGTCTTCGTGGGGTTTGAACTGGAAGTTGTGTATCGCTAGCAACGCAGTCTGGAATTTGCATTTGGAAAAATCCAAAATTAGTTGCTATTTAGGTGCTAATTAGGTGCCAAGTTTAAAAATTAGGTACTCTAAAATTTTCACCGCAACGAACTGTTGAAATTTGCGTTGCTAAAAAAACGTCTCGCTAGCAACGCAATGAAGTTACTAGATATATGTACGATAAATATTAATAGCAAGGAATTAAGTGCTGAGCGATTATCGAAACCCGATACAATTAAGATATTATTCTGGGAATTATGGGGTCCACGACCACCATTACTAACCGATTCGTTGCGGCACCAATTTTCGACAACTTTTAGCTGTGGCGGCGAACAAATATTTCATGACACGCCTATTGTGCCATCCGCCATGTGTTAGACCTAATTAAGTTTATTTGACATCAAACATAAGTTACACATGGAAGGATACTTGTTTTTAGTGGGTAACTACGTGTTTTTTTACGCGTTTTCTTTGAAATTGAGAGAAAGTGACTTTTTTATGAAGAGATTACAAACCTTTTGTACTAATTTTCGTTGTTATAAAAAAATCATTTATATAAGTAGGTACAGCTAAATCACCCTGGAAACCTTGGTTTTTATTAAATTAAATTTTCACCTAATAATAATATTTGTAAATATCAAACAATGAAGAACCTTAATTTGAAAAAACAAAAGGTATATCATTCATTGATATTTACAAATGTTAAATATTATTTAATGTTATACAAATGTAAAAGTAAAGTCGATCTGAAAACGTCTAATTAGTAAGAATAGCAAGTGTTTTCAAAAGGAATAAAACGCCGGCGCTATACGGCGGCGGATTGACAAAAGACTATTTATTAGCGAACTTTTTTTATGCATGAACGGTTTCGAACTGTTTCAAGCAAAAATAAACTTTATACCATATCACAAGAGCACATGGTACTTCGTAGGTCTTATCGGTACTTATATGATAGTAACAAGACGGCAGTTCAACCATTTTAAGCAAAATTAAACAATAAGACAAACGCATTGTTTTTTTTTTAACAGGAGACTTGTTTTCCAGACATTTATTTACAACTTGAGTTTGTGAGCGATCGCAATGAGTGCTATTATTTGTTACTTATTAGACAATTTTTCCATAACATGATTTAAAACCTACAAAGTAAACATAGTACCATGTACACGTTAAGAAAAGGTTGTCAACCCCTAAAAATTTCAAATTTTCAAAATATCCAGAAACGAAGCTGCATGCATGAACTACTCGCAAAATAATGAATGTTATGTTCTGGATAAATTTTCCAAAAAAAAAAAATCAATTTGAACGACTCGCGTGTCATACGCCACACACAAAAGTAATTGATGGCACGCCTGGCGTGTCACCCGCACTGAACCGGTTTATGTATGAACGGTATTTTTTGTTCTTTATCAGCGTCTAAAAATTAAGTGCTAATTAGGTGCTGAAAGATTAAAATAATATAAAATAAATCCAAGCCTCTTGGAATGTTATTCATGGCAATAAACTAAAACTACCCCCTGAAAATATTAAAGAATTGATAATAGATGATCATAAAATTACAGATCCTCAGCAAATAGCAGAATCGTTCAATAATTACTATGCAGATTTGGTTAAAGATCAAAATATAAATAATCCCCCAAAAAGCAAACACGCACGTATAACTCATCATATTCCTTTTCCTTAAGTCCCACTGATCCCTATGACATCTTATCTATCATAAATAATTTAAAAAACACTAAAAGTACTGGGTTTGATGACATTTGTGTATCAGTGTTAAAATATGTTTGTTCTAGTATTGCGCCCATACTTAGCCACATAATTAATTTATGTTTAGAACAGGGTATTTTTCCATCAGCATTAAAGACTAAAATAATTAAACCCCTCCATAAAAAGAAGCTAAATCCGATATTAAGAATTTTAGACCAACAGCCCTAACTCCTACATTTTGTAAAATAATTGAAAAGGCTATATATAATAAATTATATAATTACTTCGAACGGAACAACATCTTTACCTCTGATCAAGAAGGATTCCGAAAGAATATGTAAGTAAGCCTAGCTATCTATGAATTTTTAAGTATGATATACCCAAGAGTGGATGCTAGACAACCTTCTTATGCCTTGTTCATGGATATGTCAAAGGCCGTTGACTTTGTGGATCATGCAAAAGTTTTAAATAAACTTGATATATACGGTGTAAGGGGCAATACTCTCGATTTATTAAATTCATACCTCAGTGAAAGAACTCAAATCACGGAAATAAGCAAAATTTGTTCCAAACATAAAAATGAAATACATTATAGATCCAGTCCTAGAAGAGTTAAATTTGGTGTCCCACAAGGAAGTGTTCTGGGGCCACTACTTTTTATTATTTATATAAATGACCTACCTAAATCTACTAAGAATCGGATGATATTGTTTGCAGATGACTGTACAGTTATTTATAATAATGAAAACGCCATAAATAGTAGCTTAAAGTCAATAATTGAGTGGCTACAAAACAATAATTTAATAATAAATATAGATAAAACTAAGATAATGCAATTCAAACAAAAAACTAAACATAGTTTTAATACACAAATTCAATATAATGACAAAAAAGTCCAAATAACAACAACTACAAGGTTTCTTGGCGTTCACATTGATGACATACCGTACCATCGGGCAATATCCATCACTATTTAAATTAGAGATTTCGCAATAGAAGCAGATAATAACCTTGGTAGAACATATAAAACTACCTTGTATGGAAAAAGTGTGTTTGCTATGGCTCCAAAGATATACAATAAGATTCCGAATAACATCAAAGAGTGTAACGATATACAAATTTTCAAAGATAAATTGTTCCACTTTCTAATTGAGCATTCATTTTATTCGATCGATGAATTTTTTGCCGAGTGTCAGAGATAATAAAAGTCTAACGGATACTACATAATTTTATCAAAATTAAAGTTATATATAAATTAAAAATATTTTTATAATTTAAATGAATGTTTTGATACAAATATTATTTAATTTGATTTTCTATATAATTTTATTATATTTAATTTTCTTTTTCTATTATTGTAATTATAATTATTATTATCATTGTTCTTCCTTTGACATGACAATGTGATTGTTAATTTAATTAATTTATTGATGTAATCTAATAATATAATTTAATATTTTATAATTGCTACGCCCAAACCGGGTTTCAAATGCGGACTATTTTTTAAAACACATCTATTGTTATTGCAATAAAGATTATGAATTATGAAGATTATTGAGGTCGCATGTAGATGACGATAATATTCTGGAAATTATCGTTTAAAACTACTATTACCTTACAATAAGGTATGAACGACATTTTTTGTTTTTCAGATTTAATATGATTACTCTTCAGTTTCAACTTTTTAATTTCAACAGTTCGTTGCGGTGAAAATTTTAGAGCAAAAAAAAACCCCTAATTTTGGATTTTTCCAAATGCAAATTCCCGACGTTGCGTTGCTAGCGATACACAACTTGAACTGGACTAGATTTAGTCGCCCCCAATCAGAGACTTTGACAAAGTCTCGACTTCAGACACAAGTTTGTTCCGGTACTCGGCGATGTTTTCCCGAGATATACTGGCACGGCCGGTGTATAGTGTAATTGTAGTTCTATCTTTATTTAAGTTCTTTGGTAATCACATTTAAAATTTTAAAAGTACCACTGCAAAAAGACAACAGTTGCGTGCGGTACTTTTCAATAAGTTTTTGACATTAACTTTGTAAGACAGCTTCTTATTTTTTTTGCAGAGTTCGTTTACTAAGTTTGTTAATTTTATTTTGGTTTTTAAGTTTTAGGAGTGAATAAAAGATTGAGGGCGCTGAAAAATAATTTATTTTCAAAGGTGTTGGTAAAAGAAATAAGTTTGATAATCTCTGTTTTATGGTAAAGCTTAACTAAAACCCATAATAATATTTATTCTGCAAGTAGACTATTTAGTTTCAGCTATAAAAGGAATTTAAAATAAAAGTATACCCTGGTAATAAATTCATGTATTTTAATGGCAAGGCTAACTAAAACTCTTAATAATATTTATTCTGCAAGTAGACTAGTTAGTTTCAGGTATAAAAAGAATTATTTTTCTTTTTTTAAAGAACTACCAAGCTTTGCCTGAATTATTATGACAAGGAAAAAATCCAGTTATTACTTATTACAAAGTATCAAAACTATGATTTGTTTAGAGACTTAGGTCAATCATCAAGCAATTCATAATCTTAACTCAATTTTTCTAGTATACTCCAGATATAAAGTCTAAACAAATTTATCTTTTTTATTATCAATTTCTTACTTACATCCACTATTTTCAACAATTACTACATAAACTACATGGAATGTGTTATGTACTAAAAGTAAATGACATTTAACACTCTAAAAGGAATACCATTCAAAAAGTGAGCAATTATTACAAATATCTTATCATTCATTGAAAAAATCCACCACAGTTTCTAAAATTATATTATCATTAACATCATGAACTTTCATGTGTTTTTGTAAGACCCTTTTGTTGACAAATTTTTTATTGCAAATGTTGCAGCAAACTTCTGTATTTGTGTGAGATTCCTTGTGTATTTTTAAGCCAGATGAAGTAGCAAATCCTTTTAAACATAAATCACATTTATGGGGTCTTTCAGTTGAATGAGTATGTGCAACATGTACACTTAGGGAATATTTTGTTGAGAAATTTCTGCTGCAATCTTTAAACTTGCACTTAAATGGTTTTGGTCTCTGTTGGCCTAGATGAATTAAACTATGTGCTCGCAAGTATGATGCCCTTGTATATGTTTTAGGACAATGGGGACAAACATATTGTTTTTCACCATTATGGCTTTTTAAGTGCATCATCAAAGTAGATTTCGCAGTAAATCTCTTTGCACATGTTACACAAACAAATAATTTACGGTTACTTGAATGGGCAACTCGAAAATGTTCTTTCAAAGACTGGCGAGATTTATATGTCTTATTACAAAAGCCACATTTAAATTGTGGAATTTCTTTGTGAGATAATAAGTGCTGTCTCAACCCATTTGCCATATGAAAGCATTTACCACACTTAGGACATAAAAATCTACGAACATCTGTGTGTTTTGCCATGTGGTATCGTAATCCACAAATTCTTGTAAATGATTTAGAGCACTGAGTGCATGAGTACTTTTTTTCACCTTCTTTTCTTGGTGGACGCTCGGTAGATGTTATTTCAGTTACAGGAGGCAAAGGGGTCAATTCTTTGTTTATAGGTACATGAGGTTCAAAATCAAGAACTGTATGATTACTAAAAAGTGGTGTATCATATTCATGATCTTGATAAACAACATTTATGTCAATAGAATCTATGTCAGAACGCTGCGAAGTTGAAGATGTAGACTGAATGGTAAATATTTGAGACAATGTTAAGTTAGTTTTCAAACAGTTAATTTTGAAATTGTATGAAAGCAAAGCTGTATTAACACACGACGTACACATCCCTTGCGGCCAGTTTTCCTCGTCATTGTTCTAAAATAAATAATATAATTTATGTACAAATTAATGTCATTTCATACGCATCATGCTATTTGATTACATCCAAAGAGAAGGTGTAGCAAATACATCAAATCGCTTACCTCTACACAATTTAAAAAAATCAATATATCAATAAGTTTGATTTTGTATATTTCATGATCTATTAAATCTTGAACGCTCATGAACAATGTACAATCAGATTCAGCAAGACATGTTCGGCACATATTCTTAGTTATAGGCAGTACTATGCTAGGGAATTCCATTTTGACATAAAAATAATAATTATAGAAGGTGCTAGGTTACAGAGGTAGCTAGGTACAATACACACAATGCCAAGGAATACTACTTCTGCGTATTACATAAATTATACATTCATTTTCCAATTTTCCACCTTCCACGATCTATATTTTAATACCATAGATAAATAAATATGTAGCAAGCTATTTAATACATACACAAATTTATAATTATAATTTATATTAATTTATGACGTATCGTATTTCGCACAGAACTAGGGATGGTCGATGATCATCGATGTTCGATGATTATCGATGTCAAGAAAGGAAACATCGATGTTTTAACATCTATGTTTCCTTTCTTGACATCGGGTACTTGCCATCATTAACATTGGGTACTTGCGAATCCGCGAAATCAATATGAACTAAATCTTGCATCTCCTCTAGAATATTTAAAATTTTGAATAATTCAGAATGCTTGAACGCATCGATAACCTAAAAATATATCATTGTGGGGTATCAAATTTAACTGTCAAGTGTCAACTGTAATATCGCAGTTGTTACTAATTTCGTTTGTTATTGGTGTGTTGTTGGTTATCTGTTTCTTTAGCGGTTGTTTAAAAAAAATCCGATGGTTGATCTTAAACACGATCCAATGCACGTTTAGAACAATGTTATCGGTTCTACCTATCTAAAATTAAAAAGAAAACTTGCGGTGATATATTTGACCACAATCGCTACATCAGCGCCATCTGAGCGGTTATCCACCGACTTCAAAAAGGAGGTACTCAATTCCACTGTATGTTCTTATTTTAATGTGTGTTACCTCATAACTTTTTTCTGGGTGAACCGATTTCGATGATTCTTTTTTTATTTGAAATTTGGTGCTTCACGTGTGGTCCATATGGGACTGGGAAATTAGACCCATATAAGTTTGACCAATAGTTTTTGAGTTATCCCTTATGTCAGTTGTACAAAATTTAAATTTAAATAGCTGGCTCAACTCTTTATCAACAAAGAAATAGATTAAAAGGTACTTCTTTGTCAAAATTACTATTTCTTCAATGAATCTGCAAAAATATTCCACAATATAACAAGTGAATTAGATATTTGTGAACTTTTTCCAATTTTTTTATTCATCTAATTACCTATTAAATAACCTATTATATACGTGTGCAAAAAATATCGATAATGGCCAACATCGATGTTTTGAGTAAAATAAACATCGAACATCGATGTTGAGCTGTCGATGTCAACATCGATGTTTCTACAAAATCAACCATCCCTACACAGAACAGAAGCAGCAGGGCTATTCACAATCGTCTCGGAAAGCGAAATCGACTCGGATTCGATAACTTCTCGCACCGAAACCAATAAACGCTATTAACATTTAACGTTCGGATAAAGGTCACTTAGATACATCCTATAACTATTGTATCGTCATTTAGTTACATGCATTTACGAATTTTGTAGATAAATAATCTCGTTTCTGTCGGGTCTGGGTTTTTTTCTATGGGGCGTTCTTTGACGTTTGTTTTCGATAATTGTGACAGTTTGCATCGGAAACTTTACGAGAGCTCTGAGGCTGGCGAAAACTTTTCGAATATTGATGATTAGAAGAGATAAATAAACCCTTTTAATTATAAGGTAGGTAACAAAAATTAATTACAATTATCTATAAGACGTATTTTCATATAATTATTTCAATATTTGCACTTAATCGTAAAGCTGAATTTTTGTGAAAGGTGTGTTTTTATAAGTTTTCTATCACAAATATATATATATATACAGACATATCTCAGTTTTTTTGTTATTTATTATATAGTTAAATTATATATTTTTTATATTCGATATCAATGGCTAACACCAAAATATTGCATTATGGTTTTGTTCAGGCGTTACTCTAAAAAATACAAAAGCCTATTTATCTACAAAATTCGTAAATGCATGTAACTAAATGACGATACAATAGTTATGGGATGTATCTAAGCGACCTTTATCCGAACGTTAAATGTGAATAGCGTTTATTGGTTTCGGTGCGAGAAGTTATCGAATCCGAGTCGAATTCGCTTTCCGAGACGATTGTGAATAGCCCGGCAGAACACAATTAATAAGGATGCCGTTGCCGATCTGAGATCGATTAATCAAAAAATCGATTTTAAGGAACAAAAGATCGATTTTTAAATCGATATGCAATACTGTATCGATCCTGTGAATCGATATTTCGCCCTCGAAAATCGCCATTCGATTTTTTGTTATAGTAAAAACCATAATAAAATTATTTACAATAAGTTGAATATATCCGTGATATTACGGTGATGCCGGTGAAAGGGTTAATTACTCAAAAACTCGCGAGGTGGTTGTTTGCTTATTTTCCTTCGCCTCCATTTAATTAAAAAAAGTTACGTTTGTAGTCTATGACTCTGTGTATTTGTTGATTGATATTGCGTCATTAATTTGTTTATATAAGCAAACTTTGTCGTAATCTTAGATTATATAAAATGTCCAGATTCCTAGTAGGCCACCGTGAATTGAAGCCAAATACAAATAGTGAATATTGACTACTTCGTTCGATCCCCGCGTCACACAGCAAGGATCACGAGTCTGTGCTGTGAAATCGTGTAAAAATTACACTTCAAAAAATAAAAATGCCTTAACATGTTATTTTTTAAGTAATTTCATTCATATCACTTTGTATTTCTTTGTTACCGACTTTTAAATATGAAAAATTGTTGAGTGTTGCCAAGGGCATGAAATCTGTTTACTCATATTTTTAGCATTTTAAAATCTCTAAAAAGAAACGACGTATGTGACTTATGTTTTATTAATATGAACGATGATTGTTTTGTGAGTGTTAGTTTGTTTCTTCAACCTCACAGCTCTCTAAGCACTGAACCGATTTCAATGCGGTATTTATAGTTTGTAAGTATTTTTTGAGACGTGGCTCGTATTTTAGTAGCATTAACGGTTACTTTGTCGGAAACCTAAACCAGAAACGTCTAATGTTCAGCCCACTTTCAATTTTGCTTAGAAACTAATCCTTGAAAAAATCAGCATTGATATGAAAATGACGTACCGATATTGGATTTTGAGTCGTTAGAGCTATCGATTGGGCTGCTCCTGCTTACTACCCATTTAAGTAGTACTGTTCGCGCCAAGCGCTAATGTCAAGAATCGACGCCAGATGGCACTCGGCTCGACGCGATACCGGTTGAAGTTCGGCCGAGCGTGGCAAGGGCGCGCGGGTCGCGAGCGAAAAGGCTGAGTCGTCTGCCAGCTGTGCTAACGTCAGCACGCTGTCAATTTTTGTGCGGGAAACGCGGAATAGTTTAGGTGTCTAGTAAATATACTGTCTAGGATTTGTAACGCGCATTCCTTGTTGGATAGCCTTTCCCGGGACTTACTGTGTCCGACTCAGAATCCGTATAAGTGCATTCGACAATATAAGCTAGTGCGGCATTTGATATTCTAGAAATAACTGTTGCCACGCAAAACAGTAGTGACCTTTGATCCGGACACTCCGTGTTCGTTTTGTGTGTTAAGCTTTATAACAAACGAGAATTAGTGGCTTCTGTAAGTTAGTTAATCGTACGATAGAGTTAATGGACTGTCATCGTGACGAACGAAGAAAGCGACTGTGGACGGCGCCGCGGAAGATTACCTCAATTTCGAGCGGTGCTGACGTCCAGGCTGCTGCCGACGGCAAAGGTCTAATAAGGTCAATCACCACCAGTCACACCCAGATACACATCACAGCACCTTATTTCCCTTGCACAACACAACCACATGCGAAATGAGCGAATCCTGAGGGACCAGTTGCCTTGGATATAGGTAAGTAAGCTCTGTTTAATATTCTCCCTGTTGAATGGCAGTAGTATAGAACGCTCCCCCTTATTGTTTATTGTGATTAGAGAAATTCCACCTTGGCCTTAGGAGGCCCGACCTACGTCTGTTCGTTGAAAACTTTGCTGAATGGGCCCCAGAGGATTTGACTCTTTGTGGGAGCAGCCGTAGGCCGTAACATACTGGTAGCAGAGCGTGGTTCCGGGTTCGATTCCCCGGTCGATCCCGACAATAGTGTCTGATAAAAATTAAACAATTTTGGTGGCAGGGAGCGTTTGTTTGATTGGTTTAATTTGTGTCTACAATCACGCCCGGCCGTAATACGTAAAATTAAAATTCTTTTCTTTTGTTGCTTTGTTGCATGCCTTTTTTTGTTGTTAGTGGGTAGTTGCGATTGCCACGCCCTAGGTTGCGCAAGCGGGAGTTTTTCTAGAGGTATAAGTCATGTAGGTAGATGGTTATTATCACGTAATCGGTTAATTATCGTTGTCGGATAGTTGTAGTGGATTACTTATCGAAGGGTCGATTTCCGAGCTAGGCATTTTTGTTGATCGACCGTGATGTGTATCTTCGTTTGTATTGTAATTTGTATTTGAACTGAAGAGTAGTAATTTGTATTTGCGCAATCTGAATTTAACTTGATTTGATCGCAATAGTATTGGTTATTTGTTAATTTGATTTGTGTCTTTTCTTTTGTGCTAACCAGTATTTGGTTTGATAAGTAGTAATTCGTATTTGTGTAATTTCTGTTCAACTCGATTTGATAGAAACTGCATTTGTTAACTGTTAATTTTTTTTGTATTTGTTATTTTTGTAATTTGTGCTCGAGCCGCGTCGTAATTTCTATTTAGTAGTGATGTCATCACCCAAGCTACTAATCCGTTGCCTGCGGACTGAGTTACGCTGGGCCACAAGCGGCCATGCTTTGTTAGGTCGACCGGATAGGGTCCATAACTTGATGAAGCGGTTCGAGCAAGTCGATGCTCGAAGGGCCGCAGTGGAGGAGTCTTACGCTGAGCTCGAGAATTCGGATGTGGAAAAGGGAGTCCTGGACTCCTGCTTCGCGGACTACGAGCAGTTCTTTTCGCTCACGGACGAGTTGATCGAGGCTGAAGGCAGGTATGCCGAGGAGGCGCGTGAAGCTCGGATGAGTGGCCTGCCCGAGTCCTCTCGGAAGCAGCTTC